AAGAGAGAATGAAGGTGTACACTGAGTTGTAAAATGTTTATTGTAACGTTTCGATCCAAAACTAGGACTCGTTGTCAAACGTAAATGAAATGGATGAAATAATGGGATTACCGTCTTTCCGTGCGCCTGTGTGCTGTTTGTACGCCTATCAGTCCACCAATCATCGCGGGTTTTGCGAGTGTGACGTAATGTTTGTCTATCTCGACGTGTCGGTTGAACGAATTGACCGAGGGCAGAGCTTCGAGGATTAATCGTTCCCCCTTCTTCTTAGTTCGCGCCACAACCTTTGCGTTATCGATTGCGATCTGGTGACCTGTCCGTGCGCAGTGGTTCCAGATTTGTGACTTCGGGTCAGCGCGTCGGAGGGCAAGCTTGTGTTCGTGTAGGCGAGTGTGTAGTTGTTTGCCTGTCTCGCCTATGTAGTGTAGGTTGCAGCCGAGGCACAGGATTACGTAGATTACTGCTGATCGTTCGTGCTGTTCTACTCGATCCTTGCCGTTGAAAAGGGATGATCGCACGGTTGCTGCCGGTTTATGGACGATCTTGATTCCCGACGGTCGGAATATTCGTTCGGTGACTTCTGACGTGCCGCGTATGTAGGGTATCGTTATCCAAGTTACTTCTTTTGTATGTGTTGTTTGTTTCTTACCTCTAAGGCACGCTTTGATAAAACTCCTGGGATATGCGTTTGATAGGAACAGTTGAAAGAGTCAACTTCTTTCTCTTATCCTTTATTTATATGTATATATATATTCCTTCACATACTACTTATAATGGAATATTCCACCAAGACCATCAGGTCACGTTTGTTGCGGTTAGTAGCCTCTAACCCACTTACAAAACGTCGAATCACAGCACTGATTCTTCAATAGACTGGCTCTGAAAGAGCCATTTATTCAATGGTCACCCGGTGTTGCAAACAAAGTTGTTGTGACGAAAATACACTTCCTGGGTATACGTAGGCGAACGGATTAACAAGAGATTACCGCATAAGCATACCTGACGAGCAGCAACAATCGTCGTGTTTCCAGGGAAAATTTATTGGGTCATGCATACACTACTTGAGATATATATGTGCGAACAAAAATTGCGAACAGCGTAAATTAAGGATAAAGATTTGATATGCTTCACCTCATTCTTTATCACTTTATATCAGCTCATCAAAGTTTAATCAGGAGCTCTTTATCAGTGAGTTAATTACAGTGCAACAGCACAAACGCCACGGGAACGCACCTGATCTGTGTACCAATAGTATGGTGTTGGGTCAATCCCTTCGTGTTTGTAACCGCTCATCAGCTGATCCATATCGGTCATACGCATCGAGCCGCCAACAATCTCGCCTACGCCAGGTACCAACAAATCGACCTTTTTGGGGGTGAGACGAGAAATCAATGGAAAAGAGAGGATTATTTTTTGCCAGTTTGTGAACAACTTACTTGTGCTCGCGTAGAACGAATAGTGAGTGCATGTGATAAACGTTCTATTGCGGTCGGGGTGAACCCATATGTCATCAAGTCATTCTAGTCGTAACCTGAGTTCACAGCCTTCGATGGGAAAGTCACACACACACACACACACACACACACACACTGTGTGTGTGTTTTCGCGGCGCTAGTGTCTTCACATAAGTGAAAAGATGATCTTCGGGGTTATAGTCGAGTTGAAAAGCCACCGAAAGCCAGCTCGTAAAGGGGAGCAGACAAATCTTGGGTGATGAATAAACGGTATGTAATCAAACCACGGAAAAGAAAAGCACATTTATGTCGATCGGTATATCACCAAAGAGCAGATTTTGAAGGGAAAATCAAGTATCATTTCCTCAATCTGATTCATTTACCGAGTCAGTTAGCCGAGGATCGCCTTCTGTACGTAGCATATAGAATGCCTTCATTCCCGCTGGGAAGTGAGTCAGTAGCACAGGCACTCCGATCTGGTCGATTAGACGACGTTCTTGAGCCTCAGGTATATCGTCTCCGAATTCGAATGGGGTCAGATCCTCTTTTGTGATGCCCGATTGGTTCAGCATTTTGATCGCTTCCTCATAGCGAAGTCGCTGGAACGGTCCTTTGGGTGGGACAAAGCTCTACAGAACACAAAAAAATGACAGAATGAGCGTTAATTTCAGCATATATATATATATATATATAAAGACTCGGTAGACAACGGACAACTATTGAATTATGATTAACCCGGTAGGTAGGTGGGTCGGTAGTGACTGAACCATGACACCACGAAACAAAAATGGGAGTGCAAAAGTCGACTTGAAATCTGATTACAAAAACTATAACAACCTAAATTGAGCATTACCGGAAAAAGTCATTCAACTTCAAACTTCCGTTCAGCACCAAAAGAATGCCCGAATCACACTTTCCACTACTGTTCCGACGCACCCGGATGATCACAATCCCCGTACTCGTTGCAACTGAGCTAAACTCAAACTTCGATAGTACCAAAATCAGACAGGCTCTTGAAAAGTGACCAATAAACAAACAAACAAACATATACACAAGCATTACCAGCGGGCCATTTTCCTCAATATTCANTTCATCCATTCGATCCGGCTCTCGAGATTATATCCAAAGCCAATTTCAATCAAGTGTTTCTATCACTGCTTGTATTGTATTGTACTATATTGTACTGAAGCTATAGCGAGTCATATACAATCTTTCAGTCAAAAAAAATAAGACCATCGTTATAATTCTGAAGTGGCCACTTCACAAGCACTGATGATGTCACCTCGGCTGGTGATGAAACGTTTGCAAAGAAATTGCCAAGCTCGGCGAACAGGCGAAATGGAATTGCCAGCAAATATCAAGCACGCATCGATATGAGCATTACATATATTGCCAATAAGAAGAGAACGGAAAGTGGGAAACACGGCTGATCACTGGAAGACCACATCTCAGCAACTTGAAATCAGCCTTCAGCACATCATGGACAATAACAGAGGATCAGTACAGGGGTATAAAGAAGACATATTGTTGAACGAAAGCGTCTATCACCGAAAAATCAGAACAGAAGTGGTGCAGTCTTCTCATCTCTGAAAAGATAGAACTTTCAACTTGTGAGCAATAGTTTGGGTATGTATATTTGGCTTTCTCGTTAAGGGACTTACAGATGAAATGCTCTGTGCATGTTTCTGTCCTTACAACCATCCACCATGCACTTTCCTGCGCGGATTTTGGTTGATATCTTTTGGCCACCCATTTGGATAAAAGAGCAGAATGAAGATTGAAATGTTGAGAGCAAATTCAAGCGGAAGACAGTGGATTTATATAGACATGTTACAAGAATAATGAGTAGATGTATGAGCGCCACACTTACCGACACTGTCATATCACTCAGTGCCTCTAACCATTGGTGACCATCATCTCGGGGTCCCCAGCCAGGGAGCCTAACGGAAACTATGTGACCCAGTCCCTTGGTTAGGGTTTTCATAGCCTTATACCAGGTCTTCCTTTGACCACCCTTGGCTTTCTTCTAACCACTACCTGCCTCGACAAACATCGCTCGCCGTAGCAACTTATCTGGTGACACATGCCCCAACCAGCGTAATCAATGAAGGTCGACTACTTGCTCCAATGGACGACCGCGATTAGTTAAAACTCTACGCTTAACCTTAGTATTGCTCGTCTGGTTACCCCACCAGACTCGTGCAATGCAGCGTCGACAGCGATTTTCAAACACCGACAATCTATTTTTATCCTGCTCCGCAATAGCCAAATCGCTGCACCGTAAAGCAGCACTGGCCAAACTGATGCCGCATATACTCGACCCTTCACAGACAGCCGGATGTCGAGACGGTGCCACAGATATCTCAATTTGGCAAATACCAACCGAGCCTTCTGCATGCGCACCGACAGTTCATCTGTGATGCTTCCGCCATGTGAGATATAGCTGCCCAGATAGCAAAATTTGCCACCTTTCTCTACTACTTCCCCAGTCAGGGTGAGGTTGGGGGCTGGATCAAGCCAATCTTGTAGCAACAGTTTACACTTGGAAGGTGCAAAACGCATACCGAACCTGGTTACACTAGCACTCAAACCATCCAGCAAGGCTTGTATCTTACCCTGGATCTTCACTTAGTAGCACAATGTCGTCTGCATACTCGAGATCAGACAGTACGCAACCCGGGAATAAACCGATACCGCGATCCTCGGAGGAGGATAGGGCTGCTTCAGGAATTAAATCTATGACAAAGTTGAATAAAAACGGAGAGGGTGACGCTGTCGAACACCACTTTCCGTGGTGAACTCGGTTGAAAACGTAAGCTCGGCTTCGGCTATTATTGTTGAGGGATTGTAATATTGAAACAAACTTCTCGGGCACACCCTTCAGAGAGAGGCAACGCCAGAGTTTAAACCGGTCGACTGAGTCGAAATCCGCTTTCAAATAGAGGAAGGCAGAAATGGTGGGTCTATGAAAGGAATGTCTGTGTTATAGAATTTGACAAAGAGAGAAGATATGATCTATACGACCTCGATTAGGCTTAACACTAGTCTGGTTCTCACGTGTGCACTGTTCATGTGCGGCAGACAATCGACGAAGTTAATACCAGCGAGAGGTTTAGAGACGATGTTGGTCAAACTAATTCCTCTGTGATATTCACAAGATGACATCACCTTTCTTGTAAATCCGTACGATCACCGATTCACAGCATTCCGTTGGAACCTGTTCCATCTCCCAAACTGAGCCCAGGAGTTTCAATAACTTAAAAACCAAGGTTGAACTTGCATCCTTAAAAGCTGATGGGGATAGCCCGCTCAGGGCGGACATGGGATGATTAACTTCCCGGGTAACCCCATTTCAAATAGAGGACTGATGTGAACTTGCAGTATTGGTCCAGTTGAATCAGACATAGGGAGTTCTTGTGTCGACGAGGGCCATATGAACTGTGCCTTAAACACTTCTGCCCAGAAGGTGTTGCTGACTGTGAATCAGTGTACCGTCACATTCCTTAATTACCTTAAGCATGTGCTCTTAACCGTGGGGAAAAAAGATTGCGACTATAACCGATAGCCACAACCTTCTCCATCTCTCTACATTGCCCTAAGAACCACTTCTTGTGATCATTCCTCAGACTCTTGATGAGCCGGCGTTTACGAGGATAGCGAGCTTTCTCGTACTTTGTTTGCATCGGAAGGAATGGCTTCGCGAGCGTTTAGCAGGGTAGCCACAGTCGTATATATGTTCCGGGGGGGGGGGGGGGCGGGGCGGGAAAGAACGAATCAACGGAAATGCTCAAACAAACGCGTGATACTCCGCTAGTTGGAAATTTCCCAAATAAAAAGAACGAAATTGTTAGTTTGGTCACATCCGTCAAATAGCAATTGTCTTGAAAGACCACCCCCTCCATAGGTGAGAATTAACGATAAGTGTTCAGGAAAAGATGCAGCACATCACTGTGGTGGTGCAAGGAAACCTAGTCCCACGGTCCGTTAGGAAAGACAGAGAGAGAGAGAGAGCTGTTGATTTAAATGAGCTCCGCGAAGACAGGTTGATAAGAGCGTAACAGAAAACGCCACACATTCTGAGTGGAAAGAACAGGCATGTTTTGACCACAAAACTCACCGGATTGATCTCGTGAATCAGGTCACCCGCTTGATCCATGACACGTTTTGACACATCCACAACGAGATCCTCTATTCGATCCAACAAGCCGTCCAGATTGATAAATGGGCATTCGGCTTCTACGTGGTTATATTCCGACAAGTGACGTCGTGTGCGGCTCTACACCGAAAACATCCGCAGGGACAGGCGGGAAAATCATACTACTGATGCTAGTGAAAGTACTACGTGATTCAACCGTTATAGAGATTTCTGTATGAGTTGATTGAATATCAGAGTAAAAACGTAGTAGTAGGAGTTGATCAAAAAATCAAGCGGAAGTCACCTCAGGAGTCATCTTATTTTACCAACGGTAATCAGTTGATAATTAATCAACCGATCATAGATCATCGTCATCGTCCAGCGAGACACAAACACAAGAATGCCACGGTTGTCGGTTAGTTGTCATATCCTTTAATGTCTCTTACCAACCAGTTGCAGTCTTTTGGGCCCCAACCTGTAAGGTGTGAGACGTCTATTCTATCTAATCACTCTGTGCATTCCCACAGGTGTCGTTTCCACGTTATTTGTTGAACTCTGAAACCTGGAGCCACAAATGCAAACAAGTCACGATGCGGTAGACAATGGTTGAGCTTGCGCAATACGTGTCCTAACCAGCGAAGCCGACTAATCTGAATTCGATGAGATAATAAATTCACCATCGAAACATTACCAAACACGCTAGGATTTACCTCAGAGTTGCTTACAGGCTCGCTCCATCCAACCCGCGCCAAACTACGTAAACATTGGCAGTCGAAGACTTCTAGACGATGAATTTCTCCCACGCAGGTCTCGAAACCATAAGGCAGAACACACTGGCGCAGTATACGCGACCATTCAGTTTCTACGAAACATCTCGTCCGCATCAAAGGTGTTTCAGTCCTGCGTACACTGCCCGTAGCTTGACAATGTGTGCGGTCATTTGTCACGCAATTACCTAAGTAGCTGAAACAATCCACTATAAGGGGTGTCAGGCGATGAAGTACTACAAAAGCTAACAGTTGTGGGATGATGGGGACTAAACAAATCCCGCGGTGGTTTGCGCATTCGTTGCGTGATCCCTACGTGAAGATCGGGACGATCAACGATTCACCCGCTTCCGAAATCCACGTTATGGTCGGAGGTGGATGTCTTGGGTTGCGGCTGGTCACCCTTCCCTTGCACCTCACGAAATATTCCCAGATGACCAAGCGTCTCGAATAGCCTATGCCGAGGAAGCTATGCTCTCTGCCTTCTCGTGGTGGTGTTTTTGCACCAAAGTGAGAGGACGAAAAGACGACACCCAGAGCTATAACCGGGTTGGTGGACCACTGGTACTTCACCCAGGGGAGTTGGCCAAAAACCCTAATTCCAAACCAACCAAGAGAAGGCATACGAACCACACATCTTTCCGTTTGTGGCAGTGATCACCGGCTTGATTGGGTATCCAGGTGTATTGGTCACCTTGGACTCCGTCCCCCAATGGATTGCGGTTTTCACACCGCCCCGCTGTCTTGCAGGTCAGGCTTTGGTTAGCCGTAGGCTCTGGTTGTGGAGTTCCCCAACAAAATTCACCTGCCTTGACTTGGGTAACCTGGCAGTACTCGGCATGCAAATCATGGAACGTTTTTCTTTCCTATAAAAATTATTGTACCACGATTTGTTTGGCACAGTCTGAACTCAGACGTGTGCGAAATACATATATAAATATATACAACGATTCACCCCAGGACAAAGGCATACGCTCCTCCGACCAAATGCTGCTGCTGTAAGCTAGCAATCGAGTCGAAAAGATCGGAACGACCAACGATTCAGGTGCGAATGGATAGTCGGGTCTCCTCTATATTGGTCACCGTCAGTGTCTCTCTAGTATGACAGTCCAACTGTTCAACCCATGCGGAGGGAGCAAATAGAACCACTTGAAGCTAAAAGCACTGTCAAAACCGAAACAAGCTAAATCAGTAATTGAACTAGATTCGAGTCGAAAATAGACTAGAAAATTAGCACAATTTGTTAGGGTACAATGATCCGGTCAATATTGTCCAAAAATCAGGGATAACACTGTGAACGGTAAAAAGAGTATAGTTAACGTTCATTAACTTTCCGATAGATTAAATCCATAAATCGAAGAACCAAGGTCTTTAGTGCAATATCTAATATAATCATGCAGATCAGATGAACACAACAACATCAGCTTATTTTTGTTATCACGTGACAGGGCACCGTGTGCGACTGGTATGATTACAGCGGAAAATGTGTCTTTTTCGGATGGTATCGTTCAACACATGACAAAGCACTGAAAACCGATTCTCGTAACTCTCGGGTGAACTGAATTCCATTTCGCCGCTTCACCGAGTAATGAATGGGCAATTCATTTACAAACGTTTCATCACCAGCCAAGGCGGTGAGGATGAAACGCTGAGGTGACATCCTCAGCGTATTGAAGATGACATAACTGTAAAAAAATTGTCAAGCACGGCGACCAGGTGAAATGGAATCCTTGAACACTTTCGAAAGGTGAAGTCTAAGTCCCATGGGAATCCGATCGGTGAAGAGACCGAAACATTCACCTTAGCAATAGCCGTTCACACTGAACACATCTCCACTATCACAGAATGACAAATTTGGATTCCAGAGAACTGCTTTGCTAGTAATCGGTTGATATGATAGTGTTCCGTTGGACTGTCAAGCTTATATAAGGTGATAACAAAGCCATGCGCAGACTGTGAAACAGGGAGATAAACAGCGAACTACATATGAGTGGGGGGAAGGAAGGGATTTCGGTAGTGACAATGATGTTAGAAACAGAAACACTATCTACCTGTCAACTTAAAATAGCTGCGTCTTGTATAAGAGCCCCGATCAAAATCCCTATCACATTGGGTCTAACAATCCCCTTATTCGTCATCACTATTATTATTCGTAGGCGACTATGATGATGATGATGATGATGAAGATAAACAGCCCCACTGAGATCGGCGCAACACCCCCACAGTGCACTAGCACTGTATGCAGCAGAGCAGTTCATCCCTAACTCAAAATAAATTTCCCAGTCGGCAGAGTGCAAAAATTCCACGATACACGGTCCCCCCGGAAATAATCTGATATACATCTATTCTGATCATCGCACCGTATAAGGGAATCACCACCAAGAGACTCCCGTCTCAATACTATGCTTGGTACAAGGGGTGAGCAAAAGGTTTCCGGATACGTGATGCACGATGAGTAAGAGGTACAGATGACCGGGTAAGGAAATCACGAACTGTGATCTATTGTGTTCAGGGATTGCAAATCACAGAACCAAATAGCAACACAGCCTAGAGCCTAGAGCTCATAATTCATATGGGTCGTCATACTCTGACAATGAGGATGGAACTTAGTTGACGTGCGATGATTTTCTACGACTACAAATGTGGTTTAAAGCAGCAGCAGTGTTGATCGTTTACCAGCTGCCTTCGGTGCTGACGCACATTCAAGAAGTATTGCATTTCCAAATGTCAAGCGCCTGATGCGCGGAATCCGATACGAGTCACCAAAACAGTTGCACAGTGGAAACCTTTACTGAACTGGTCGAAGGGTTAACCGTTTCGGTATGGTCGAACTGTTTCACCAAATGGTTTGAGCGCCTGTAACTACCGTACATGAACGAGAAAATGTAGTGCTTATTTTTGTGTAACAAACATTACTTTTTACGCATCCGGAAACGTTTTACTCAGCCGTCGTATTGCATCCAACTGTGACAGATGATGATGACGATGATATGGATGGATGCGTGTGGAGATACACAATTTACGGGACACTGAAAGCACAGGTAATGTGAATAGGTTAAAAATCTCACAGTGCAAGAAATCTGTGAAAGGAATTGCAACGGTCGGTGGTCAATTGCCTCTGTTGCCACATCGTAGTGAACAAACTGCTTGCATCATCCACAATAGAAGTATTAACTTACCTTCTCAGCTCGGTAGCTACGAGTGATACAATAACAATCGCCCAATGCGGGTACACATGTTTCCAAGTACAATTGCGAGGATTGTGATAAGTAGGCGGTCTCTCCAAAGTAGTTGAGGGAAAACAGAGTGGAACCGCCCTCTACTTGGGTTTGCACGAATGTGGGTGGATGAACCTGAAAAGGGCCCAGAGAGACAAACATACAAACACTGAGAGTAGAAGCCACATTGGGTCGCTGACAACGAACCCAATCACCATCATCATCATCATCGACCAGTGAACTTCGCTAATTGTGACCATACTCGTAATTTCTACAAAACAAGCATGAATGTGCAAGGTGGATCGGGAATGTGTTTGTTTTCAAGGGAAGGGGGGCGAAAGAGGAGCAATTTATGATCCATAGATAGAATACACCGTCTAATTATGCGGTCATACAAACATCTTCACGCATGCGGCAACCGGTCATGTTACCATCATACCTCTAAGCATACAGTGACGGATCCTACTCTAAAACACACGACGGAGCGGCCTCTTCGACCTGATCTCGCAAAGCAACTCGTTGGGTCCCGTATCCACGTCATCGGTTGACCTGGATGTAGTTTCCTTCACTCGATATGGTAGCAATGTCCAATTAATAACCCGGTGCAACACGATGAACGAATCAAAAGGTCATTAATCAAGTTCACCACGATACAACAGCAGAACGCAAATGTCATGAATGAACTCTAAAAACATTGATCTATTTTCCGATTCAAACGAGTGTACGATCGGAGTAACTATCCCGGACTGGAGACGCCTGATGACAATTGGTCTCATGCGCTGAAAACTCGGTGTTCAACATACCTCCACATAACCACGATCGTGATAGTGCGCTCGGAACGCACCTGTGATGATGCTGACCGCGCGGAGAATCCTCGATGACTGTAAATGAATCATAAAAAGGGGAGGGAGGCGGGGGCAAGAAAAAATAAACATCGAATGTTGATTAGGTTAAAATAGCAAGAATTCGGGTAATACAGAACAGAATGTATTTACCGCATAGTTTACTGTTAACCACGTAATTATGATGTTCTTCAAACGGAATGCGGTGGTACAGGATTGTCTATTTGATGAGAACTTATATCATTGATCGGGATTAAAAACTCACTATCGAAGATGCATAAGGCGGAATGGCGTGTTGCACACTTCACAACCTGGCGATAGCGCATTGAACGAATCGAAGATAGTGTGCAATTTGGTGGTGTGGTTATGGTCCAGCATTTTGTGACTCGCTACTTTGAATCTCGGGGTTCAGTCCACCAGTTCCTACCACTAGATGGTAGGTTTACCGGACTACCGGGGTTATCGCTTGTTCTCCTCACCATCAAAATGATTTATGCTATTGAAAAAATGATGATATAACAAGCAATTCGTACTCAAAGGAGGGTGGGTGAGACGGAATCGATATACAAAACACTGTCAAGAGCAAGAACGCTCAAAATCACATTGGTCACATATGCATTGCGGGCTAGCTTAAACTAGCTAACTGGAACAACGGGGGGAAAATGAGGTGATACGGCTTCGAGATGGATCTAACTTGCATTGGTAAACCCTATTCGATCACTACGTGAGTGAGACAGCAGCAGCACAGCTGTTAACCCACAACCGAGCGTGAATAGGTTGACTCCGAAACGGATATGATCTTGGTTACTGGTGCGGCACAATGTGAACAAAAAACAAATTGGACAAAACGTGAACAAAACAACACGTCTTTTTTGTACTCCTCACCTTGTCACCACGAATAACCAAATGCCGGTTGTCCAAAAGAACATCCACATCACTGTCCGCATTGCACACATCCTCCACACCGCCGGCTGGTGCTTTTCCAATCAGTTCCCAGTAGTCCGCCTGTAACTCCACATTGCCCGGGGCAGCTTTACCTTCGGGAACTTGGTTAATCATCCCGTAGACCACAATTGTGGATTCCGTGGACAGCTGAATTGCCTCCACAGTACGGCACTAGACAGAGGTATGTGATACGGACGAAACACCAGACTGATCAATGCTGTCACAAAAAAGGTCTCAATAATGCATCTATCTCACAAGCTTCGTGTGGTCGAGTTATATTCCCATCATGATGAGAAGATGAAGACTCGGGGGTTATAACAGGGTCGGTGAATTATTAAGTTCATTTAGGGAAGTTTGAATCAAATTCCTTCTAAAACAACCGAGAATAGGTGTACGAACCACAGACACCCTACTGATTGGGACAGTGGTCAGCAGCTCGATGGGATATCGAGGTATATTACACACCTTGAACGCTTGACCCTGTTCAAAGGACATGTGATCCAATGAATTGGACACCAATCCACAGTGAACTGCGGTTTCCAAAAACCACCTTACACTGCCTTGCGCGTCAGTCTTTGAAAAGCTGAAGGAGTCGATTGTGAATCCTCCATACACTACACCTGTTTCGGCCTGGGCAATCCGGCCGTATTCCACCCAGTAACAAATCACGGACCATTTTCCTTGTTATAAAGATTGCTGCGCCGCGATTGGCACACACACACACAGAGCCTGAAGTCTGACGCGTGTGAAATGCTCACATCTTACTCTGATTCCGTGACTAGAAAGTTAGGCATTATACATGCCAGTTGGAACAACGTTTAATTGGTATGAAAAAAAGATGAATTCACATTTTTGTTGCAAAGATGATCAAACAATATGATGAACAAAAACCACCTACTACTTCCGAATAATGAACTGTACAAAACCAGACTGACCAGATCATTAGAGAGCACACATTGAAGAAATCCAGTGCCATCCCTCAGTATGATGAACATCAGTGTGCGTCCCTGACGACGAATACGATGCGCCCAGCCGAAAATGCGAACTCGCTTGCCCAAATTTTGTTTCAGATCACGAATCTTGCACTCGATCGGTTTGGGTAACTTCGGATCAAGGGTCAGTTTGATCGAGGTTGCCTCGGCTAACGCTGCTGCCGTCTGAGCGTCGCTTGTCTGGTAGGAAAGATAAATTAACATAATCGATGGACGAAATACCAGAAGATATCGATGGATATGAATTTTTTAACCATGTTGTTATGCATCGACGCGAGTGGATTACTTTACGAGCGAGAACCGACGTTATTTCAAATTACGGTCATGAATGCGTCAGTCAGTTTTATCGCCATTTGGCAAAAATTAACAAGTTAAATCTGAAGAATAGAACGCCAACGCTATGGCTGATTAAAACTCCTAAGGGCGAACGAGGCACAGAAAGAATGAGAAATACAAAAAAGGGCAGTTCAGAATTTGTGGTTATGCAAGTGGTTAAGCAAGTTCAGAAGCGGAATTCACATGTTTGTGGT